AAACAGATAACAGCTGCTGCTATATGTTACTGCTAAGCAGCGTGGCAGCAGTGGGTCTGCTTGTGTGTGTGAGTTAGTGCATGGCTACGTGGGAGTGTTTGGATGTTATAAAACAGCGTTAGTAAAAAAAAAGTTGAAAACTTACGGTGTTTTTTCGTTTGCCGAAGCTGCTCCTGGATGCCTTCGTTTGAGGTGCTGGTGCATAGCCGTCGTGCTTTTATGATAGGCCATTTCCACTTTACACAGCCAGCAAACGACTGAATTGCTTCCTTTTCCGTTAAAATAGTCCCATACCTTTGAACTGCGAGTTCGGGTTGAGTGATTTAAGTCGACTGCCCCGCTCATGTTGCCACTACTCGCCGCTGCCATGTTTGTTTTTGAACGTGATGACGCATCGACGCAAATTATTTGCGTCGACGTATTTTACGTGTCGACGTAATCGATTACGTCGACGCGTCGTCCCGGCCCTAGCTGAGTTCATAATCTGTGCCCCGGTAATTTCAAATCATTGCTGCAGGAGCGCAGCACATACTAAGCTTTTTTTTTTTTTTGCGTTCGGCAGATCCCTTTGGCTGATTAGTTAGAAAGTAGGAAATATAGGAAACGTTTGCTGGAAGACGGAGAAAAGATGCAGTATGCAGGAAGGTTAGAGAGAGAAAAGGCAGGAAATTATTCAAATAAAATCAAGACAACAAAACAAAATGCTTGAAAAGGAAAAAAAGAAGTAGGTAGATTTATCCCCAATACACATTTGTACCAGCAAAAAGCAATAATATATAAGCATTTAATATTTATACATGTGATAGAATCAGATCACCCTCAAAAGTCAGTCCCACATCCAGGGCCGTATCAAGACATTTGGGGATCAAGGTAAAATAGGCTTGGAGCCCCCACCACCTCACTCCCTGCTCAGTTAATATAAGATGGCAGCGTGCTGAAAGTACAGTTTGTTGTTGGATTGATTTAATAAACAATCATTTTAAAAAACTGTTATTATATCTGACTGTTTTAACAGCAATCCTAGCTCAGACACCACATCACCTTCCACTGTATATGTCAAGAGTTCACTGAGTGTCAGATTACCAGATTCATATTGAATTTCTTTGGTATGTTCTTTCTGTGTTTGGCTTCTAATTCCATTTTGGTTCTTTTTTAAAACACAGGAAAGGTTTCTCTTTACCTTGCTGACAGTTTTGTTTGCGTCTACAAAGATCCTCATTGCTGACCCTGATGGTTGGCGTTACTTCCTACTCTGTGCCAAACAACAGAAATACAAAAGATGAATAAAGGAAGTTATAGAGATAAGGAGACATGGATGTGGGACTATGAACAGAGACGATGGGGTCTACACATTGGATCGCGCATGGGACTGCATCATCGGAGAGGGGAGAGTGGGCAGCAGAGGGCAGCAGAGGGCGACAACGTCCTCTGCTGCCCGCGGATAAACGGAGTAGGAAGTGACGCCACCATCAGCGTCAGCTCTGAGGATGCTTGCAGACGCAAACAAAACTGTCAGCAAGGTAAATCATAATGAAGTTGTTTTGGTGAAAGTAACTTAAAGCAATGCTAAAGTAGTGTAATGCCTTACATTTTAAAATCAGTAATATTGTAATGTAATGAATTACTTTAAAATGAGGGTAACAAGTAATAAATAATGCATTACAGTTTTGAAGTTACTTGCCCAACACTGCCTAAAAGTAGCCCAAATCACAGCTGAGCTTCAGACAGCAGATTTTGGAGTCTTATTTCCTGATATTTGGACAGCTTGTCCCGGACTGGATAACAGCAACGCGTCTACCACTGACTTGCAACGCTGATGTTTTATCTCCACAAATAACACAAGCCACACTTCTGCCATGTGGTAAAGTTGCTAATACTACCGTTTAGCTTAAACTAGCCGAGATGTCTGCTGCTGATTCCCAGACATTAAAACAACAGACTTCTCCATCGTAAGCCAAGATCCAAGAATGTTAATTGACAGTGTGATGTAGATCTGTCAAGATTTTCAAAACCAACAGTTTCACTGTCTATTTTATATCAACAGCTAATGCAGAAGATATGTGTAAGAGACTATTTTCATGTTCAGTCTGTATGAATAACTGAGTGTAAAAAAAAATAACATTTTAAAAAATTGGTTTTCAGTCAACCACACCTTTAAAAAAATTCTGTCTTAAAAATTGCAGATATTTGGCTTTCAGTATTGCGACAGATCCTAATTCCAGATTCTTGCTAATACACACTCCTCGTTAGGGCTTCAGCTATCGAATTAATCGAATGTTTCAAGTGAAAGGAAATTGTGGTCTGCTGCTAAAAATAGGAAATAGGAAAATAAATCAGCAAAAGTAGTTCCCTCTTTCCCAGATGATATGTACAGTTAATAAATGTTTTATTGAACAAAATTGGACTTACATTTCAGTCACATTTTAGGTTTTAATTAATAGCACTAATACTATAAAATAACATATCTAAATATATCCGCATAAAATCAGTAGAATTTAATAATAATAATAATGCATTGAACTTATATAGCGCTTTTCTAGACACCCAAAGACGCTGTCACACACTCTCACATTCACACACTGCTAGTGATGGTAAGCTACTTGTAGCCACAGCCGCCCTGTGGAGGTCTGACAGAGGCGAGGCTGCCATTTGGCGCCGTCGGCCCCTCTGACCACCACTAACACAGGCAAGTTGTCATTAACATGTTTGGTAGTTAGCTACTGGAAACGCTAATAACAAATAAATCCTCAAACTTTTCTCACAACCTGAGGAACTCAGCAGATGAGCCCATCTTCTGTTCTGTTCATGCTTATATCTGACAAATCCTTACAAAATGAACTGAGCACCACTTGGATGGAGACAACACACGGATATCCATGCAGCTCATGACAGAATGGACGTCCACACCTCCTTGCCAGTCAACAGCTCAGATTCTAAATTCAGCTTTGTGACCTCCACAAGCCCCGAGATCATCAATCTCCAGTTACAGGAGGGGAATGTGACTCTGGAAGCTTTGGCTTGCCTCATCCTGTTACTGTACCGTGCAGCGTGATTAAAGCTAAACCATACACACTCACAATTACTGATAACCCAGAAACAGCAAGAAAAACATGTTTAATTATGGATCAAGTATTGATGGTGTGGAACACTCGTTTAATCAATACATTAGCAGTGAATGTCTTCTAAGTCATACTCGGAGGGGGCAACAAACACCGGCGCACAATTTCCAGGAACTAAAAGACCCAATCCCAAAACTTGCACTGCGCCATATGGTCTTCAGCAAAGTGCACTTGGAGGAAGAGCAAAGTTAATCTTTGAGTGCCTAGCACACAGTGTGCAAATAATTGCCGAATTGGGACCGTGAGCATTGCGTCATCGACTGCAATGCATGCCGGTCACTGTTTGTGCTACTTTATTAACAACTTTCAAACTATTTCTTGACAAAATGTACTTTCTTTGCTGTTGCATGAATAAATATAATTAACTGTCTTAAAACTAACTTCTTTTGTTTGAAAATATATTTTCAGAAAAGGCACTTGAGCCATTGTTCCGCCTTCTTCTCAAACTTCCCACACAGCAATGGATTGTGGGTAATACCCTTTAAAGTGTGGCAAAGTGTGGATCAAGCAGAAGGGGTGTGCACTTGAGGATCAGGACACCTTATGCACTCGCACCTCTGTACTGGAATGCACAACTGAAGCGTGCAAGAATGGAAGTGCGAGTATTGGGATTGGGCCGAAGATTGCCACATCACAGCTGAGTTTCAGATGGCAGAATTTGGATTGTTATTTCCTGATATTTGGACATCTCTCCTCTAGCTGGATAACGGCAACACGACTCTACCATTGAACTTGTTTGCTTTGCAACTGTAATGTTTGATCTCCACAAACAACACAAGCCTGGAGGAGTTCAGCCATGTGGTGGAGTTGCTAATGCTTCTAGCTGAGACGTTCTCTGCCGTTTCCTGGATGCTAAACCAACGACAGCCTTCCCCGTCGTGAGCTAAGATGGGTGAATGTTAATTGATGGTGTGATGTAGATCTTTCAGGCTTTTCAAATTCTAGAGTTTCACCATCTTTTTCTATCAGAATATAATGCAGGACATAGGTGTAGGAGACTATTTTCATGAAAAACTAAATCAGAAATAAGATTTTTTCAATGTTTTTTCAGTTACACACTTCAACTTCATCAAGCTTGCATCTTTTTGCATGCTGATTATGAACCAGCACATTAAAACTGCCAGGTTACCGAGATGCACAAACAGAGCTCACTGAGACTGCTCTACAAAGTCAGCTTGCACTTGCATGGTGAGACATGTAGCATCAGTTTGCAAATGAAACCAAGAATATAGGAATTATTTAAAAAAAATCATCCAAATTGGTGGTGCATTTAAAAAAAACGTTCAAATCTACTCCTATAAACTTAAACTAATTTGCTACAGAGACCTGCCAGCCCAACAAAAGATGTAATTTACATTATTAGAAAAGGTAAACACAAGAAGGCAGGAAGTCGCACCGCTCATAAGTCAGTAGAGGGCTAATTATGAACCAGCTGGTTAATAATTAATCAGCAATTAAATGCAGGTGTGTGATTTACGAGTGAACAAAAAGTGTCCTGTGTGTGTGTTAGCTTAGCCTAGCAGCTTGTTATTGCCGGAGCAGCCTTTCAGCACTCGGCTCGCTGGATAGCAGTGTTGGGGTGCAGTTAAGAGAAGGCTACAGCGGAGTGGGCGACGCTGGTTCATGCTAACAGACACGAGTCCGGCTGAGAAAATAAACGAGTCTCGTTAGAGAACCGGGAGTTGTTCCGTATCCCGCTGCGGTGACTTCTTTAGCACCCAAGCGCGGAAGCCGAGGCTCAGTCTGTGATGAATGAAAAGCCGGACATCGCCTAATGCTAACGTTAGCAGCACGGAGGTGCAGTAAGTGTAAAAGGCTAACAAGCTGCTAGCTGGAAAAACCTCCCCATCTCACCAGCCAAGGCTCCCAACTCACTATTACCTTGAATTGGTGGAGGTGACGCCTCTTGCAGGTTGTCAAACTGTGCGCGGGTCCTTGATTTCACAAGGTACTCCCCAAAAATGGTGTTCTCCTGTTCAGCAAACCCCCAGAGAGTGACTGACTATCCGGTCGGACGCTCTCCGTAATCTTGTGGTGCTGAAGCTGAGGCAACACGCTTTTGTCGGTGTGTCGGAAATGCCTCCTCCTCCCACGGTGCCTGCGAAATAATGACCCCTCCCAGCTCTCCAGCCGCAACAACGGAGTAGGCAGGTGCAAATGGGTGATGCGCTAGTAACAGAGAGCCTTGCAACATAGTGGGCTGTGCGCTCGATTCCAGGGTTGTCAAATCAGAGGAGGCTCCAGCCTTGGCGCATGCGCAGAACCTTCAGAGAGAGGGAGAGAGAGAGAGAGAGAGGGAGAGGGAGAAGTGAAAACTGGACTTCTGAGCTTTCACATGGTGGGAGTGTGATGTCAAATGTTATGGAGGAGATGAAACTTATCAGCGTACAAAAAGAATCAATCCATGTTTACTTATAAAACACTTTACACAACCCAGACGGTGGCTAACATGCCAAACATGTAATATGGAAAGAAAGAAACAGTAAAAGCAACAATTAAATAATTAGAAACCACTGTAAAAAGTAAAATAATCCAAACCAGTTTAAAACAATTAAGAACTTCTATAAAAAGTCATAAAATCGGCACCATATTCGGAATCTCTATAAAATAATAAAAAAGACAGTTTAGGAAAGCAAAAATAATAAGCTCAAATGGGCAAATCAAGAGAGAAATTCTAAAACTGAGAAAGTCAAAAACTCACAGGAATGTTCTGACCCTTTGGTGATGAAATAAATCTGTTGTAGCTAATCTCAAATTCTGATAAAATTCTAATCCTGTTAAAAAACAGAATTTGTTTTAAAAGAATAAGTTTCCACTCTAATGAGACAAATTGTAATGCATGCATTAAGAAACTTGCAACGTAAACACATGTATGGTAAATATATCCTTTAGATGTTTTGTTTCTTGAACATTTTCAGGCAACACAAAAAAAGAAGGAATCTGAGGAGATGCATTTATGTATTTGCTTGTTTTGCTGAAACTCATTAGTCAGGTTTACAGAATGAAGCTAATGCCAATTATTGATGAGGTGTTTCCTTTTGAAGTTATGCCAGTTTGAGTTTCTGAATGTGCACGCTGAGTTCATACTTGTGTGAAAAATCAAATTTAGCAAACCAAACTCTGGAATATGCTGTTTCACAGAACTTGTTCTTTCTATTGCGGTAATTATAAATATACATTTAGCTTTGAAAACACAGACCATTTTAATGCACCGTCCAGTTTTTTTAACCAGTTACAGCTGCCAGGCAACATCACGTGCAGTAACGTAATCACCGAATCCCAGTACTTAAGGCTTAATCTTAAAATCTTGCAGTTGACTTTTAAGCTCTTATCACCGTTCTGTTCTGTCTGCTCCGTTAGCCTGATTTAGGCCAACCCATGGCCTCAAGCCACCGGGCAGAGGTGACAGTGTTTACGCTCAGACAGGCTATAAATGCTGCCTCAGGAAATAAGGTCAGCGGTATTAGTGTTTCTTTTTTATTTATTTTATTTGACTTTAAAATGTTCTTCTCATAATTGTTTAGTTTGAATCTCATAAAGCTTTATTACGCAAATTTTATTTTATTTGCTGCTCGTTCCATCTGTGCATGCAAGTGTTTTCTTTGGGTGACCCGATTTTCTCTCGCAGTCTAAACAGTCTCCTTATTTTCTGTGTCTATATAATTACACAGTGAATAAAGCAAAAGAGCCACCCATTTCCTCTCATCTGTTTGTATTATCAGTGCAGGGTGTTAACCCTGCCTGTTAGTGAAGTCGTCCTCACAAATACAGCAAGGGGCTTCTGTAGAGTTGACACATCTAGCATAAACTAGGAATGGAGCTTAAATCTTTGAGTCTGAGGTCATCAAATTCTGTTGTGTTTAAGCAAAGGGAGGGGGAAAAAAGATTTAAAAAAATGCATTATTGCTTTTAAATGTAACGGCCTACACTTAGATTTTAGAGAATTGCACTTTGTACAACGATAGAACGTATAATGCTTTCTCCGGGTTGGGGACGAGGTCCTGCCCCAAGTGGTGGAGGGGTCTTGTTCACAAATGAGGGAAAGATGGATCGGGAGATCAATAGGTGGATTGGAGCTGCGTCTGCAGTGATGCAGGTGATGTACCGATCTGTCCTGGTGATAAGAGCTGAGCCGCGAGGCAAAGCTCTTGATTTACTGGTTGACCAACATTCCTACACTCACCTATGGTCACAAGCTTTGGTTTGTGACCCAAAGAATGAGATCACAGACACAAGTGTCCAAAATAAGTTGTCTCCGCAGGGTGTCTGGGCTCCCCCTTAAAGATAGGGTGAGACGCTCGGTCATCCAGAAGACTCGGAGTAGATCTGCTGCTCCTTCACATCAAGAGGAGCCAGTTGATGTGCTTTGAAGATGTGGTTAGGATGCCTCCCTCGTGAGGTTTTCCGGGCATGTCCAACCGGGAGGCAAACCAAAGTAAGACCCAGGACACGCTGACTATGTCTCAGGGCTGGCCAGGGAATGCCTTGGGATTCCCCCGGAGGAGCTAGCCCAAGTGTCTGGGGAGAGAGAAGTCTGGGCCACTCTGCTTAAGCAGCTGCCCCTGTGACCTGACCCTGGATGAGAAGAGTTGAATGGATGGATGGATGCGCTTTATACATTGTGTTTATACTTTTATACTCATGTGCACAAGCTGGGCCCTCCAGGGATTGTCTTCACTTTGTCTCCCTGGACTAGCTCCCCACTGCTCTTCCAACACAACAAGGTCATCATTGGATCAATCCGCTGTACTTAATGGCAAAAAAAAAAAGTTTTCTAATCTCCAAGCTCTGAAAATCCCACACTTCATCCTCAAAGAGGAAGAATTTAGGGCAGAAAAAGGGATTTGGGTTGCAGTTTCTGAAACCTGACAGCAGAGTTCAATATCACATGAGGAAAGTTTGGTTTCGTTACTGCTTTTCTCTATTTTCATGCTATTATTCATCTGCTTCAAATCAAAATCCTTTTTTTTCCCCAATTGTCTGAGTTATGAGTGAACCCTCCAGATGGCCTTGCAATCAAAACTGACGTTTCTTTGGGTGTGCGACCTGTGCAGTAGCACATCTCCCGTGCAGCAGCTGAATAGAAATAACTTTAGGATTCATGTAAATTGTGAAAACTGCAAAGCATGTTGTCTTTGATAAACAAGAGGCACAGTAAATCTGTGGAGCCTTACCTGCAGATGATAAGAAGTATAGCCAAAGACACCGGCCTGCAGCGTCTGCATCTTAAATTATACATCTAGCTTGTATTTTTTTTTTTACCAGAATTCAATTCAATTCAAGTTTATATAGCGCCAAATCACGACAAGAGTCGTCTAAAGGCACTTCACACAGTAAACATTCCAATACAGGTCAGTTCATTAAGCCAATCAGTAAAAAGTTTCCTATATAAGGAACCCAGCAAATTGCATCAAGGCACTGGCTAGTGGCAGTGACTATACACCAATCCTCATACTAAGCAAGCATTTAGCAACTGTGGAGAGGAAAACTCCCTTTTAACAGGAAGAAATCTCCAGAGGATCCTGGCTCAGTATAAGCAGCCATCCACCACGACTCACTGGGGATCGAGAAGACAGAGCACACACACACACACACACACACACACACACACACACACACACACACACACACACACACACACACACACACACACACACACACACACACACACACACACACACACACACACACACACAGGTGCGAAAACGGTTTAAAAGGTTTTGACGACGTGTCAAAATCTTTGATGGTTTAAGAGGTTTTTGCGACAGATGGCCAGTCCGAAGCTTGCTCTTGAACTCAAGAAATCCCAGAGTGGTCTAGTTGTAATGGAACAATACAACTCAATTATGATTGAATAGCCAACCAAAATTTGACAAGTTTGAGGAATATTACCAAGAATCTCAGTCTCTGAACTGGGCAAAAGGTTAACTACGTGTCAAGCGGTCATTTAACTTTACTTTGTTTTTGTGTGAGTGCAGATGGTGATGACCTCGTCAAGTAAACATGCTAAACATATATCATTAAGCACAGACTAATGAAACATTTCATTGTTTTATAATTATTATAAGTAGCAATAAACAAATGTTTAGTTAATGATTATCTTTAATTTTAAAATCTTCTTTCCTCTGTGAATTGAGGAGTTCATTTAATGAGTTCCTCTGTAAAGGGACCTTGGTGGGAGAGAATGTTATTGTTTGATTTAATTATCTCTTTCAGGGCGTCAGGCTTTCAGTCTCCTGTGAGGGAAAACATTGTAGGTTGGAGCATTGGCGGGGATCCCAGGGGGATGGGGGGATACGCCCCCCCCCCCCCCCACCACACACACACACACACACACACACACAAAGTTGTCCCCCCACAATAGTTATTGTAAACACATAAATGCTATCAGTAAACCTGTATTTTCTTCTAAAACCACAACGTAAAAGTTAGCCTGCAAATACAAAACATTGTGTTTTTAATTGTTGAGAAATTATAGTCGTCGTCCCCCCCCCCCCCCCCCCCCCCCCAATTCCTCAAGTTGGTACGGTCGGTCCACACGCGCTGCTTCCAACAGGCGGGGCTGCCGGCTCTGCCTCGCTCACAGCTTCACAGCAGCCGCAGGCTCACAGGAAGCGGGAATCAAAAAGCCAGCAGTTTCCAGCAGTAAGTCATTTATCACACGCTTGTTCTACAAACTTAAATATGTATGTCAAATGTGGTCATAAATGACAAACATAGACACTGATTATCTTTAGATTTTGATCACCGGTCGGAGATCCCTTTATGACAGACCACCACCACCACAGTAAAAAAAAAGTTGTCACTTCACGTTCTCTGGTCATTCCAGGATTATTCCGCTATTATTATTCCATTCACTAAGGAGACCAAAAGTTCCTTTTTCCGGACACGTACGCTTTCACGGTCTGCCCCTGGAATCTGCAGAGCATTTATAGATCGATGAAAATGTCCGTGTTTCATCCTATTTAGCAGATGAGTATGGTAGAATCAAAACTAACTGGTCCGATGTATGGAAAACCACAGCGTTTAACCGCTCTTATCCCGTCTTCTCCAGGCTCCGCAGTTGTTTACATAATGTCAAAGTGCAGGTGCACCGTGCAGCTTAGGGATGAACTGGTTGCAGCAAATGTGTGGTGGAGGCACGTTGCTCAAAGCTCTCAGTGTAAAACATAGAGCCAAAGATCCCGTTGGC